GTTGAAAAGAACTTTAAATAATTGCTTAAGCAAAGTATTAACGATGCTCTTTGCATGATTGCATCTCTTAAAAGATAACATTTTAGTCAAATATATTATTGTGCTTGACCAGTACGCAATATTTCTACCCTTTTCTCTATATATGCTTGTGAGATTCATTGTCCCCAAAAAAATTGTCATGTGATGTGTTACAAAACCTTAGGACAAGTGGCATGGACGGCTCGGAATCGGGAGTTTCGAGCTTCTTCGATTTAATAGTGCACTTTAAAAGAAAACCATTATTCGTGACAAAAAAAAAAGCTCATTATAAGATTCCATCGCACTTGAAGAATCAATCATTTATGAATTATACATTAACTATATTATAGTAACTTATAAGTACACATAGGGGACCCAAATCCAGTGTGTTTTGTCCGGTGTTAGATTATATTTTTTCGCTTAAGTTGAATTAGGTTTTCTAACAGAAATGAATGTGTTCTTAACTCGTAATGTTTTAAAAAGCATTTATGTTAAAAAAATAAAAGAATAGCGGCTTGGTTTCGTTTATGTTCTATCTTCCAAAGTAGTAGAAGTCAAATGATATCTGTTTGTTTGTGTGGATAGGTATATGTGGTTCCGGTTTAATTGGGTTCATCCAAAACAGATTTTGGTTTTTCTGGTGTCTTGAATGATATCGATACAATCCAAAGAAAATGCAATTTCAGCCTATTGATATATTTTGGAGCTATATTTTCCCAAAATTCTGAGGTATTATTATATCATTAAATTAAATACTTTCATAACCTTAGATGCTTAACGCTCTTGATTATATTACATTGACACTATTGGTCCCTACACCTTTTAATAATTTCTCAAAATATTCGTATAGCTTATTTTTATAACATTTTGAGTCTATACAAATAAAATATAGCTACACAAAAAGATAGTAATAGAAATAGTTATCCTTGCTTTTCCTGATAAAAATAGTTATCTATGAAAGTATTTAAATTGGTGGTTCCATGTAGGGG